CAGTTTTCTTCATGCAAACCTCCTTAGATGAATTAAGGGACTCTTTTTACTTATTTGATAAATTTGTGGCACCTGAAGGCTGAGTGAGTTAATTGAAGCTTTTCCTTTTTAGAATTTTCCTGTTTAATTAAACCATTGCTTATGATTTTCGTAGTCTTTATCCTCCCATGTTTTAATTTTGGGGTAAATCTTTTTCATGTTTTGAGAATTAATTATTTCATGTGAAGCATAAATCTAGACTAACCTTGTAAACCTTGTTTCTGTGGTCTTGTTATTTTTAAATGTTTGTTTATAAGAACATACTTGACAGTTGCCAATTGGGCCTGTTTGATTTTCTGATGATTAGGTTTTCTTAAGATACAGATATATGCTATAACATTTTTATGCTTATTAGAATTGTTTCATTTTTAGCAGATCTCTATCATCTTCATTTCTCATCACAAGCTACTGATACACTTTAGTGAAAATATAAATGGAGCTGACCACCATTAAAGATGCATTTGATCGTGTTGCAAAGAAACAAAAACTGTCAAGCTCTAAAGCTCAAGAAGTGATCGATCAGATTGACCAAGAAATCCAGAAGACATTACAAAAGATCCAATCATCTAATGATTGCGAGTCTCAGGTTGATTATAAGTCTGCCCTTGCTGAACTTAAAGTGAAGCTAAAAGATATTGCTCCACTCAGTCAGTTGGAAGGCACGCAGAAGGAACTGAATGGAGCACTTAGCAAGTATCCAAAGCATCTTGAGAAATTCTTCAATCCTGATATATCCAAGGCTTATAGAAACATTGACTTTGATACACACACAGTTAATGAGATAATTGGCAGCCATTTCTGTCGGCAAGGCCTTTTCGAAATTGGCGACTGTTTTAGAACTGAGGCGAAGGAACCAGAATCTGAAGCTTCTGTGAAATCTCAGTTTCAGGAAATGTTTCAGATAGTTGAAGCAATGAAACATCGGAACCTAGAGCCAGCACTGAACTGGGCCATGACTAACTCTGATAAACTCAAACCAAATGGATCGGACCTATTACTGAAACTTCACAGTCTGCAATTTGTGGAAATACTGCAAAAGGGAAACAGAGATGGAGCTCTCCAGTATGCCAGAACTTATCTTGCTCCTTTTGCTTCTGACCATATGGCTGAAATTCAAAAGCTGATGGTGTGTCTTCTGTGGACCGGAAGGCTTGATCGCTCCCCATACTCTCACTTATTATCTCCAGCCAATTGGGACAAAGTGACTGGAGAGTTAACCAGGCAGTTCTGCAATCTTCTGGGGCAGTCTTACGAGAGCCCATTGAGTGTAACTATGGCGGCAGGGATTCAGGGGTTGCCACCTCTTCTCAAATTTATGAACGTAATGGCAGGAAAGAGACAGGAATGGCAGTCTATGAAGCAGTTACCTGTGCCAGTGGAGTTAGACCGTGAGTTTCAATTCCATTCTATATTTGTGTGTCCAGTGTCTAAGGAACAATCCACTGAAGAAAATCCGCCTATGTTGATGTCATGTGGACATGTGCTTTGCAAACAGTCTATTACGAAGATGTCAAAGAACGGCACAAAATCCTTCAAGTGTCCATACTGTCCTTCCGATGTCGATTCAGTGCAGTGTAGGCCGCTCGTTTTCTGATGAATCTGCAAATGAACTAGTTGCAACACACTGTCCCAAACTGGATTAAGCTTGTAGAAATTAGTCATGTTGTGTTATGTAGCTATAGGATGTGTGGTTATGGTGGCAAAGCCAGTTCGTCTGGTGTGTTGCGTTTGTTGTAAATAGATATTCTTTTTACTGGCTGGCAGTACAAGCAGTCCACTTTCCCTGAGAATAATTTGAATGCATGATCTGGGCAAACGAGGACGGACAATACTGGCTCATCCTTCCAAATGAGTTCTACTTCTCCTGCTGGGTCATGTAAATTGTAATGGGCTTCTCAGGCTCTGGGCTTAATTGTTGAGCTGGATCTATTCTGATTTTCAGGATCTCAAATCCAGGTCAGTCTACAAAGCCATGTTTGAGGCACTGGTAAGAGTCTTTTTCATCTAAACTGACCCTAATGACCTGCCTTTAGAAGAATGAGGAGCCTCCCCGGAAAAGTTCTCACTTTTTAGTATCTGTATCTTTCTCACCAACACAATAGACATTATAATATTTGTACTTTTAGTAATTTAATTTAGTTGTTTCCTTAACTTCTTGGCCTAGCAAACAAATTTTGGATGACCATTGGATTCTTATCTTGTTTGTTATTCAGGGTAGTTAGTGAAACAACACTCTCTGTGTCCTCTTATATTTCCTCCTTGATTTAAGAAAAGTCTGAATCATCTTGAATTTCTCCCATCTTTTTTATCTCTTCATTTGATTAACTCCTGATATTCGCACTGGTGATAGAAACATATTATCTCTTTGTTGCTAAAAATTGAAAAATTGGATTTATGTTCAATGGATCACACCCACCAAGAAAAAGTAATTTGTTTTTTTCGATTCGTAATCATATATGAAATAATGGACGGTATAAATTTAGCAAGCAGTATTAGTGACTTACTTTAGAATCCTGGATTTTGTCACACATTATGGGAACTAGGCTACCCCAACACACATGTAATCATATCTTGGTGGTGAAATATTTATGCAGGGGCATAGAAAAGTGTTATGGATGATGTGCCTTTTGGGATGTAAATTTTATACAAGTTGGTGCTGCTTGGAGATGCACAATTGAGAAAAGAGAAGTGCAGCAATTAAAAAGGTAGGCACTCATGCAAACCCACTAAAAAGGCTTCAAAAGTGTGCGCAATTTAAGGAAATCATCAGTGTACCCCCAAAAGTGCAATAAAGAGCTCCTGGCCAGAACAATAGAAGGAGTGTCTCAGAGAAAACGAAAACCTTTTTCAAGCTTAAGTTACTGTCACTCCCTTTCTTCTCTTTTCAGTTTTCACGCAGATTTAGGTTTGTAAAAGTGTTTTTAAGACCTTTTGTTTTCACCTTTATCTTTTTACTAACGTGCAGCTAAAGCCATGCTAATGTAATATTATGTACAAAATTAAGAGGGCTCTCAGCTAATATGATGGATATGAAGTGGTCCATAAATAAGAGCATGTGATTAGTTACTACTATGGAGGGTGGAGTGGGAGAGGGACTTTCCCATACCCATCACATTCTCCCCCCTCTCTCTCTCTCCCCCCATGTAATTTAAAGAGAGAGAGGGTGACGCTGCAACTGGAGTAGGAAAGTATTTATCACAGGCTGGAGATCTGAGCTTAAGCAATGCCATGGGGACACTGTGAAGATGATTTCATAATTATAGGTCTTCTAACATCAAGCATGTCATAACTTACTGGTTACTGCAAGCACACGTGATTGACTTCTAATTATTGATGCATTGTAACATCACAATGCATCATCGGTTGAGAGTCCCTAATATTTCCTCTTGTATATTCAGCTATTGATGTTAGAAAAGATCCCACATCAATTCATTAACTTAAATGTGGTGTCGATACAACTACAGGATCCTTTCTTAAACCTCTTACATCCTAACTAATTCGATAGGTATGTCTGCGGAATGTGTTGGCTCTGTTTTTCTTTTCTTTTCATTTTTTTTGGAGTTTCTCAATCTGGTTAAGTCTGGTCAATCGCAATTCAAGCAAACTGTATGGAAATTATGTGGAATATTTATATTAAACAAACGTGCATGCATCCTATCCAAGTTCCAACCAAGTTATTATCACCCCCATTTCATTGTGACAGTCGTGGGATTCTCATTGATTGGAAATGGGCCCCCTCAGCTAGAATGATGAAAGATAATGGGACATGTGCAATGTATCCTCTCCCACTCACATAATTAATAAAAATTATGTTAGCATCGGTCGTCCACGTTAACGTATTAGTAGCTCATAGTTATCTACAAACGCATGGACAATTGATGATAGTATTCCTCACTTGACAATTACAATGTGTTTTTTAGTTCACCCAAAAAACAATGTTTTTCTTTGTTTAGGTACCACTAAGGGTCGATGAATTTGACAAGTGCGCCACACATGTGAAGAAAGTGGTCAAATCTGAACACATATACATTGTACCACATCTAGTGCCAAATTCCCTTTTACTAAATCAAGCACTTGGTGCGTTCATAAGCATTTGGCAATCATTAAGCCTAATTTAAAACCCTCCACTCCAAAATTCTTACAAAATATAGTGATATATAAAAAACCATTTTGGCGTTGGCATCATCTTCTGCTTCATCTTCAAAGGCATGATTCTTTGTCATGCAGTCGGTCATTTGGAAGTGAAAGCTTTTGTCAATTTCTCTTAAACCCACCAAAAACCACTGAGGAGGGAGCCAACAAACAATATTACAGCTCACACAAACTTACAAAAAACCAAAACCCATACATCACCTGCAGCTCATTATTGATTAGACCCAACCACCATATACAAACCAAAACAGCCATCATTATTTAAGCAATCCACTACCTATTCCCTTGGGTCTCTTTGGATATATCTAAGAACTTTGCTACCCACAGTCAGCAAGGTGTGGACGAAATCTAACCGTTGATGCATTGTTGGTTCTATATATTTGACTATTGATGTATTGTCGATTCAATATGAAATAACGGTCTGAACTATATACACTTAAAATAACAGTCAGAAATCGCTCAAACACACGTAACCAACATAGGATATAGGTATATTTAAATACACATTATTTGGGTTTTGGGTTTTTGGCGGGGAATGCTAATTGATAGAGACAATCAAAAGAGAAACACACCCCACACACTGAGCAGTGCAAACAACAAAAGGCTTCGTATTTTTTCTCATGTGGGGTTTAGGTTCAATGTTTGCCCTTTTTCTCTTCACTGCCACTATCACTATCCACTCATTTCCAAAAGGGCCAAGCCGTCCGTTCCTGCTTGTCGCTATTATGGGCCTGGGCCCAGGACCCGGGCCCATTTTACTAAAATTTATTTTATTTTCATCATTCAATATTAATATATTCCTTTTTGTATTACAATTACAAAATATATAAAATTAAAAAAAAAATCTATTTTAAAAAAGAAAAAAAAACTAAAATCTGGCATTTTCGAAGCCGTGTAAGTCGCTGACTCTGTTCAAGGACTTTCTGATAGTAGCCACCTTGGCCAATCTTTCGGCGGCTCGCCAAGCCGATGTTGGAGTAAGCGGCTCTTGCTTCTCCTCCAAGTGTCCATTATTGGCTCCTCCTCTCTTGCTCTGCTTTTTCTCCACCTCCGCATGAAGCGGAAC